GCTGATTAGCCTCTGCTAGTTAGCAAGTTTCACTTCCTGTTTACTACCGCAAAGCTTGTCGCCGACATCTGATGTAATCATGTGTTGCGTAGCCTCGTCTGACGTAATCACGCGTTGTGTAGGCTCGTCTATTCGCATCAAGCAGTCGAGAGGGAAACTAGATGGAAACAGTCCAGGTTCGAATTATTATTTATTTAATTTTTTATGAATTTTGAAAAGTTGGATAAAAATTCACTCTAAAACTGGATGAAAACACAATTACRGTAGCTGTTTAATCCTGTTGTTTGTTGGTGATTTAACTGATTTCCTCCTCCTCTCTGCGGCTCGCATGCCTCCATATTTTGCTGTAGACTTTTAATGAATTTCTTGTGGGGACCCTTTCAGCTGATCGGACGCGGRAGGTACGGCACCGTGTACGGCGGCTCTCTGGACGAGCGGCCCGTCGCCGTGAAGGTGTTCACCGCAGCCAACCGGCAGAACTTCATCAACGAGTGCTCCATCTACCGCCTGCCGCTGCTGGAGCACGATAACATCGCTCGCTTCGTGGCTGCCGACGAGCGGACGGGCCCAGAGGGACGTACAGAGTACCTGCTGGTCCTGGACTACTATCCACATGTGAGTACAGAGGAGGTTCAGTCCAGTTCATCACATCTTTGTAACCATAAATTCATAATTATTAGATGAAAACTCTGAGCACATTCAATTGTCATTTGTTGGAATATATTAACGATTTTAGCACTTTAACAATTTATGAACTTAACACGTGAATAAAWAGCCTCAGTAGCATGTGGAAGAACCATACACAGCCACGACAGCCTGGCACCTCCTCTGCATGCTGATCAACCAGCTTCAGTGGTGAACACATCTAACCAAAAGGTTAGCTTCTCTAACCACCAATCCAATTAGCTTAGCAAAAGCCACTAAACAGGTAAGAAAATTAGCAGAAAATAATGCTAACTGATGACCACTAACTCGAGGTCTGCCAATAAACAGACACGCTATCCACAGAAACAGAATCTRGGCTAAAAGCTCATAAAATCTATTTCTGTGTCCAAGAAACAGATCAGAAAATCCATCTAACCTATTGCCTCTGAATCATTAATTSACCAGGTTAAAACTGTTTAAACTCAATAACTGACCTTTCTGACCAGATTAAAACAATCTGAGTGAACCTCACACGTATTTGTCTCCTTCCAGTTGAAGCAGGTGGACACACAAAATGCTAAAGATGCTACACACACACACACACACACACAAGGCACATGACACAGGCGTGCAAACCGCATGTGTGTTTTGGTTTTCAACTTAAAGTTAGCAACACTAAATTTAGCAGATTTGCTACCAATCAGAATGTTAGCTTTGCTGTTAGCTGATTGGTTTCGTTCTTTACAAGAGGTCCAGTCTGTTGAGTTTTTGTGTAAATTCAAAAGAAAATTTTCTATAAACAGAAAATTTAGAAAAATAATAATAAAATCAGGAAGAGAAGACGAGCCTGAACTTCTCACTTCTGCATAACGTGAAATTAAATACAGGTTTGTTGTGGTAGTGCAGAAATAAATATTACAAACTCCATATATTTTCATGTAGCTGATGTTTTTTTTTAGATAAAAATAAAACAAACATCATCTCTAACCTCCTAAAGTTTCTGGATTTTAGTATCCATGAGCTGAAACCACTTCCTGTCCAAATCTGGAGCTAATTACAGGTCACAGCTGACTTCCTCTGGTGCATAAAAAAAMAGCCCATTATGTTCTGCAGGCATTAGTTTAATAAAAATAAACGTTGTCGTGGTAACGCAACATAAGCCAGGACTCATAATGTCTTCAAGTGAATTATTGATGCAATTTATCCACGATGAACTGATCTAATGTCATTTTCTCCAGTAACAGATGCAGCATTTGTTTTTTGATTAATTTTGGAGGGAAAATAAAGTGTGTGTGTGTGTGTGTGTGTGTGTGTGTGTGTGTGTGTGTGTGTGTGTG